GTCACTAAAAATATATGAAAATAAAGAGAATAAAAAACATTAAGTTGAGCTGTATTTTGGTATCTCTAGCAAAAACCGCCCATAAACTTGCCTGCTGCTCTGCTGGCTCACTTTTGATTTGTTTCATAATTAATAATTATCCCTTTCAACTCTTAATTGGCCATACCTTGAACAAGACAAGTGTTAGCTACACCTCAACCCTCCTCTCGGGCTTTTTATTGTAGTGGAAGGGGAAGAAGAGAACAACATACGACTTCACAGCGATGCTTGAGATCATGGCAGTAAACCGCGATGGTCTTTAGTCTCTGGTCCATACCCTTTTAGAATATAGATGTTCAGTTTTCTTGCTTTCCTTCATTTCACTTTTTTTTTTTTTTTTTCTTGAAGCGGAGGTTAGAAAGAAGGGGCCTCCGTGTGGTCCTCACCTCTGCCTTCTTTTGACACTCTGGATCTGCCTGGCAATCGATATCGGCATTGCACTGGAGGCGGAAGAAGAATTATCGTTAAAATCATAGCGATGATGTAACTCGATATATATTTCTCGAAATGTAGGTTTATGTCGAACATGATGGAAGACATACATGGTACCCCACTCTACACAGCTCGACCCTGACCCTCTGTGCTGCTGTCATTCCTGTCGTTGCCACGAGGGCCAAGGTCAAGGGGAGGTCGATCTTCATCCTGAATTTGGATGCTGGGTGGTTATCAGGCGAAAAAGGGCCACTGGAAACTGTGATCGACAGCGTAGAGGGCGCAGGAAGGAAAAAGGTTTCATGCAGGTCAGAATTGCAAGCTGAAGACGAAAGGAAATGAGAAAAATTAAAATATCGTGTGGGCTCAGATAAAATTTTAGTGACGGGGCTGGGACGGGCTTATTTATTTATTTGATCAATGGAGATTCACGCTCAGACTCCGGATTTTTTCTTCTCTGCATATAGCCCAACCTGCGAAACAGGAATTTAAAGGAGAAAGCCCGAAAGTCAAGGAGGAACTGGATCGTTAGTGGCTTGCGGCGCAGAACAAGCTCTGTTTGTTTTAAGATTAGTTGCTGAGGGATCACTCCTTGCTTAGCGGGCTGGCTCAGTTGGTGAGAACGGTGAGATCCTCAGCAATTACCCCGAATCGACCATATTGTTGTTCGTATAATAATGAGTTGTTCTTATGTTGTTGCTTTTTGTTCCCACACATATCGTGATACAGTTGATAACCATAACTGCAAAGCATATTATGGACCGCTGATGAGAATTTCCGGTCAGGGCAGCCAGCCAGTTCCATGCGGACTGCTGCGTCAAACCATCCACTCGGGGCTTTGCACAACAAGTTGAGGTGCATACCGAGGAGAAGCAGGCATTTTTCTGCGCTTTCGCATCGCATCCCCAGAACTCTTTTGTGCTTGTCAGGCCCGTTCAGAGGAAGCTACACAAATCGCCCAGGGAACAAAGAGTCACCTGGCTCCTGAGCAACTGCTTGCTGCGCCTCGTCGCTATTGGTACAGTACAACACATGGGTCAGAGCTGCCGCTGGTTGCGGGAGGAAACCCAATCCTCTTGGTGCGGGCCGGGGTGTCCGGCTGGTGGCTGGTGGCTGATGGGCCAGCTATCAAAAGCCTTCCTTGAGAATAATATGATATGCTTGAACGGGCAAATAACTACGTTGTCATGTTCAAGTATACTTTATACTGGAGTTAACTAAAAAAACCAGCTCGATGTTCGGCTGCCAGTCTAAACGTGGTACTCCGCCAGACCATCCATGGTACATGGATTCCCCCGATATCCCTTGGGATCAACATCAAAGAAAAATAAAAGGGAATGCGTACAAGCTTTTCCTTTCATTATTGACCTCGTCAACGATACTTAGAGATATTACATTCGGATAATCGCATGCGCTTCAACGCGAACCACCATATATGGTCCTTGGTCAATGGACAAACGAAGGACGCATAAAACCTCGACATCCAACTGCCACGTCAGGAAAACAAAAAGATATTGATGTGGTTATAATTTTTTATCGATTGTTCTGACAGCATCGCAATAGTTTCGAGAAATAACCCTGAGGTATCACGCTTCGCAAGGAATCGGAGGCAACAGACGTACGGAGTATAAATCTATTTTTTATTCTTTTGTCTCTCTCTTTCGTTATATGATTAAAATACAGGAAAATCCGTGAAAAAGGGAAGATCGGGCATGGTATATGTCCAGTACATGCAAAACCCACCGTTCCCATGTTCTCGGGGAGTTCACTGAGAAGGGCATTTTTACACTGTTCAAACATCAGTGGCTCCGTATCGAATTGCGATATTATTTCTATTCTCCCTGAACGAGTTGTATCCAACCATCTAATTGCTAGTCTCGGGCTCCAAGCACAATAGCCTGCAACCTATTCCCCACTCCAGAATGCCTGGATCATCTTTGCAGCAACTCGATCTCTGAATCCCTCCCCGATAACTGTAGTAAGTCACATGTCCATGTCCAAGTCTATGCATCGGAAGCTGCCGCTAGAAAGGGGATTGGAAAATGCAAAATCTAGTCATCTATTCCATTTAGCAATCGTGCTCAGCTCTCACAATATATGTGCTACCGTACCAAACGTTGCATGATTTCCTCTCCCGTTTCAAAAGAAACGATTCTAGATCCCGAATATCGCAAGCAGAATACATACGGAGGTGCCAGATTCGCTGCTTCTACTATAAAGCAATAACCATTCCCTACCATAGCTCAGAAATGACGAGTCCATCAGCGAAAAGTGTTATTGTCTGGATACCATACCATATTGCATCCCAATCCTTTAGGACCTTTCAAAAGAGTGTTGGATTTGCGAAAAGTAGCAGCGCCCGCATTTTCTGTGCAAAGAATGACTTTGTACGAAGGGGCGCCTTCCGTCTCTTGATTCATAAATTACTCATTTTCTGGGGTATCAAGTGTTTTAAAAGACCTCAACTAGATAAATAATGAGAGCATGCCAAGACGTTAATACCCTAAGCTAGCCCTAAACTTACCTGCCTACCTTAAAGTTTAGCGCTCCATCACTATTAATCTAGCACAGTTGGAAGCGCCCCAGCTGATTGAGCTTCAGCTTCGAATACTTGAGACCCTTTGAATGAGCCTGGGTTTTTGCCCGAGACAGAGACAAAAATTGTTTTCCGACAGCGGCCTTTTGCCCATTGGGTATTTCATAAACTGTGTCGATATAACTAGTGGTTATACATTGGGGTGGCGTACGGGATCACCCGACCCCTGGATATAATTTGAAAGGTCGGTTAGGTGCCGAAAGTGTTTCTGTCCGGGAATTAGAACAAAATGGCATCCCGCCATCGAGGTCCTTCTTCACGTACGCCAAGCGGACCCGGCTGTGTCGGGGACTACAGCTATCTCCAGAGCAACCAGCGCGGTTCTTCGCAGTCGTGTTGGCACTTGTCTAAATCCCATTACCAAGGCGCAGCAAGGCGGACATAAACCTCACTCCAATCATTTGAGTGACTTTCTCGATTTCTCTGGAGATCGTTTCCCCTTAGCATCCCAGAATCGGGATCGCTTTCTCCGCCCGACCTCTTGCGTGCAAGTCAACGCTCTTATGCCCAATGCGGAATTTACAGTATCACTGATTTCTACAGCAATAACGATAGCGTAAGGGATGGATATAGTCGCCGTTTACTTGGCTAAAACTATGCCCATGAATTGTCGCTGTCTGAGCTATTAAAGGAAACCCTACTACGTGTTTTCTTTGACTTGGTGGAACTAGATGTCGCTAGGGAAGGAAAAGGATATCAACCTTTTGTGATCCGCTGCGCGAGAAAATCGATTTTCCTTTGCAGATCTCCTTTCTAGAT